AGGTGTTTCAGAAAGCACAACAGGGAATACACCAAGCAAAGAAGCATCTGCATTTATTTCAATGTCAAATCACATGTGTGTTATAAAAGGAAAGTTTATCTTTTTTATTAAAAAACAACTTTACTACATTGTACTGTTTACAGTTAACTCTTCCTAACCTCCAGCTTTCTCATCGGTTTGGCCAAAAAAGTCAGCAGGTAAAATCATAAAGGCTATGGGTGCAGCCACAGCGTTGCAAGGGGGTCATCAGCCCCATTGGCACTGCCCAGGCTGGCACGTGCTGCCAAGAGCCTGCTGCTTCTTTGCATCCTCCCCTTGCTCCCCTCTGGCACTGGGGCTGCATCTGCTCCCCAGAGGCTGCAAGGCAGCACCAAAGCCTGGCCTGCTCCCACTGATTTCACAGGTGTGGGCATGCAAATCTCAGTAGGACTGCTTTCTTACTGATGTCGGCGCACTGCAAGGCACCAGCTTGCCTCCCGTCTCAAGATGCCATCTGATCTGTCTAGGCAGCACTATAGAAACCTACCACCTCGCTTGCCGCCTGTGCAGGGCACTACGTATTCTCCCATGAATGGCAGTGCCTTACAATAAATTGTTTTTACAGAAGTTGGCCAGAGTCAGCTTAACCCGTTTGGACCTTGGGAGGAAACATTTCAAAGCAGCATTTAGCCTGCATAGGAGCTACAGGCACATTGTTAAAAAGCTAATTGCTCTGAGACAAAGGATGATCATTATTTTCATGTTAGTCTGTAATATTAATCCTTAAGAGCCATGTTTGATGATAAGTTGCTGGTAACTGAAGCTGAAACCTCTTTATTTTTAACCTAAATTGAAGCTTGAAGATTTCTAGAGTCACAGAAAGTGCTTTTGCCACTATTTTCATATGTTAAAACTGATTTTTCAAATCTGGGATCTTTTTCCTATCTCCCATGTAACTGGAGAGGAAAAGCAGTGATAAAATGCTAAAGTGCTGAAACTATTTCTTATATCTGTATGTATTACTCACGTATAGGAAAACTGGCCTTATAGTGACAAGTAATCACAGGGAACACTTTTTCCTCAAACGTTGCCTGTTTCAGGGACTGAACAACAGGGCTAGAAAGCTTCTGAGCACAGGTTTGCATACAACATTTTTAGCACTTTCTATATGCAGTTGGGTTATAAATGCCATGAGAATAATTTTTTCCTCAATTTTGATCCTTTTGATTCTCTTTGTAAGCCAGAATTTCAGAGAAAGTAATGTGAAAGACAATTTTAAACTACTATTTGGAAAGAGAAAGAAAAAGATATTTTGCTTTCCCTTTTTCAGTCAGTATTGCAAGGCCAGCTTTTGAAGCTTTTGGGCTGCAAGGGTCAGAATTCCTCCAAACATATTCTTTCCTACGGTAACCAATTTCACCTGTCTTATTTAGACATCAGACAACAAAAATATCTATGTTCTGCTGCAGGTCGCATACGCTCGTAGTTCTAGAAATGCAAATTGCTGTGAGAAAGAAGACCCAGGGAAGCCATAGTTTTGGGAAAGGTCCTGGGAGTCAGTGCTCCACGAACCTCTGCAAAATGCACAGTAAGCATTTCGCAGGCACGGCATTGCAACTGCGCTTTATCACAGCAACTGCGTGCACCTCCCTCTAATACCTGGCTGTGTTCATCTGTTGTATCAACCTGTTTTCTCTCTTATGCTTTGGAATCATCCCCACCGTTCATTGCACATAAGCAAAATCCTGCTGCTTTCAGCAAGGCTGTATTTAGGCACAGTGAAAAAGTGACTCAGGTAGGTTGTAAGAGCTAAGCTGTAGGCTGTGGGCTTCAGGAGCAGGAATGATTCTTTTAAAGGACAATAAGGAGGTTTGACTGCAGCCTGTGGATGTGAGACATCACTGTTAAATTAATACGAATGGAAAAGGATAAGCATGCTATACCAATGGAAAAAAAAAACATGACTATCACAGAGAAATCTGTGTTCTCAAAAGAATATTTTGATTGCGCTCTCCAATCTCTCCCTTGGCAAGCCCTAGAAGAAAAGAAAGGATGAGAGAGAGGAAAGAAGAGAGAAAAAAAACAAGGAGAGACAGGGAGAGGGAGGGAGAGGCAGAGAGAAAGAGAAGGAGACACAGAGAGCGGATACTTTTAACTCGTCACTGTATAACACTAGCTTTTAATTAATATAGCCTATGTACAACTTTGAAGACTCTTGGTTGTACAGTATTTTATGATAAATACGTTTTATGGGATTTTGTTTTTAAAGAGGATTTTGTAAAATAACCTGCCCCAATAAATGATTTACCAGCTGCAATAAAAGATCAAGGAAATTGTTCAGATTGCATCTTGGAGCATCTAAAACTCTGAAGTTTATTGAAATCTAAGCTACCTCCAGATCTACAGTCCTATTAAAAAGTTTTGTAGTAGCTAATTATCTTGCATTGCATTTTTCAAAGGGTAGCAATCCTGGAAGAGAGGAAAGTCTGGAAACAAAGAGGGGTTGACGCCCTTTGTTGACGAGAAGAAGAGAGAAGGAAAGGAGAAAAGGCAGAAGTAACAACTGAAACGTCATACTGGTATGTTAACAAACTGAACTTACAACTCATGGGGTATCTGATATTGCTTCAGTTATACACAGAAATCACATTACCTTTCAGTTTTTAAAAAAAAAAAGATGATTAAGGATACATTCTCTGTATGGTATGCCAAGTATACTATCTATATTGCTTGACCAAGTACAGAGTAATTTGTTCTCTTTACTTTTGATGAAAGTGGCACTGCACCAGTAGCAAAGCAGAAAGTGAAGAAACGTTCCCTAAGTCTTTTCTGTTCTAAACTCACAGGACTTTCAATCAAAAAATAAATAAATAAAGCAAGAACTGGTGCTTATTTCAAACAGGACGACAGAGACAGTAAATAGAAGACATACTGAAATAATCAAATACCAGCCTCAACTGTCTTCACCGAAAGAAGAACAGCACTGTCACCATGAAGCATGTCTCGTAGCTATCGGAAACACACCGTTCTTGCCCTGTAACTCACTGTGCTCAGAAATACCTCCGGCCCTTCAGGGAACCCCATGAAACCAGAGTCTACATGTCTGCCTATTACTCAGGCACAGGGCTCCAAAATTATCCAAACTTTCTCAGACAAGGAAAGGAAAAAGAAAAGGAAGAAAGGTCTATAACTTTCTTCTTGCTTCCCAGATCATGTTGTGAGGTGCATGCCAACTTCAGACAAATGACATTTCCCTCAGCTTGCCTCGCAGAGGCCACGCGCTTCAGCGCCTGGGGCCAGGCTGCTGCAGGGACAGAGCTGGAAACCATCATGTGCTCTAGGAACACTTGAATGCTGAGGAAGGATGCATCTGGGCCCCTTTCCCAACGCTTTCAAGCTGAATGACTTTGGAAAGAATGAGAGATCAACGCTGCCCAGTTGCTGACTTTAATTGTATCACCATAACTCTGCAAGACGCGTTAGATAGACAGTGAAGCTCGCTGGCAGAGAAATAAAGCACCTTGGGATAGAAAGTGTTTATGGTATTTCGGTCAGTACCAAGGAGCAGGCAAGATATTTGAATTAACACTGGTACTCTGAAATCTATTCTTAAATTACGACTGGGATGGGGGATTCCTTAATAGTCCAAAATAACCATGGTTAATTCAGCAGAATTATGGCAGCCTAATTAAACAATTGTGTGGTTTTTTTCTACCTGATCACTACCTCCTTCAGTACTTAAGGCCGACCACCTCTAG